TACCTGTTCCTTTATCCAGCCGCGCGTTGTCTTCCCGGCTTCTGTAGTGTGGGCGCTTGTCGGACAGCCGGATGCCCAGTGCGCATGCGCGAGAAGCGCTGCGCTTTGTGATTGGTCCGGCGGCTTCTGGGATCTGTCATGTGTCCCAGGTACCGCCTTACCATTCACAAAGAGCACTGCTTCTTGTGCATGCGCACTTGGGACCCGGCTGTCACGCACACTACAGCCGGGAAGACAGCGCGCCGCTGGATTCTCTTGGCGTGCCCACAGATAAGGCTCGGCGTGCCACGGGTTCGCCATCACTGGTATATATGATGATGTTGTCTGCCAGAGGTCCCCTTAAGGATATGAACAGCTTGGTCTGGTCAGAGAGAGATATATCCCCTTCCCTTGGGTAGTCTTCAGCAACTCAAGCCGTCCTCCAAATAAGCTCTGTATCAGTGTTTGCTCATAAAGAGCCAAAAAGAGGGAAGCCCATAGTGCAGTATTCCACGTTATATTTATTGAAGTAAATGCAGGTAACAAGAAATGTGAAAAACACTGACCATATGCGATTTAAAGATGGCCGCCGGACCTTCATGTGGTCGGGGTGGAGTGATGTCACTGCGTACGGCTCCTTCTTGACGCGTTTCGTGCTAAGGCACGTAATCATGAGGGGTATGCTCATGCACATACCGTGACTTCCTCAGGGGCCAGCGCAGGAGGTTTACTGTCTTTTTGTATTTTATTTGATCTGCAAATTGCTACAGAATGCTTGCTAGAACTTTGAAGTGAACTGCAAACCCGAAGAACCTTCAAAATGATAGTCTTGCTTTCCTAAGTCAAGAAACCGGAAATGATGTCCCCACGCTTCCTACTTACGCGTTGCATCACGAATCACGTGACTTCCTCAGGGGCCAGCGCAGGAGGTTTTCTGTCTTTTTTTTTTTTTTTTTTGGATCTGCAAATTGCTACAGAATGCTTGCTAGAACTTTGAAGTGAACTGCAAACCTCTGTGAGAAGCAATGTCATCAAGAACACTATGGGGACTAATTATCTTTAATGAAGATATCCAATGTAGCTGTTACAGGTGGAGTTCCCTTCACGGGTCGAAGTAAGCCATCTTGATAAGTCTAGCACCAACCACATAAATGGAATGATATCTTCCAGACAAGGTATGACAATAAAGTCCATTGATTTATGCCAGGGACAGAAAAGATCGGGTAAGGGTCCAAGTAAACCTCAGGGTTTGGCTCTTCTGCTGTTGTAACGGGTGCAGATTGAACAGGAAGAGACAACCACCTTGCAATCCTTGGAATGATCGAGTTACCATAAGGTCCCCTGTGCTACATCCTGCAGACTCCGAAGTTACCAGAAAGTAGGAGATTGGGGCAGATCTGAGGTCTTGCTTTCCAAAGTCATGAAACCGGAAATGACATAACCATGCTTCCGCCCTACGCGTTGCGTCACGAATCACGTGACTTCCTCAGGGACCAGCGCAGGAGGTTTTCTGTCTCTGTTTTTTTGGATCTGCAACTTGCTACAGAATGCTTACTAGAACTTTGAAGTGAACTGCAAACCCGAAGAATCTTCAGAATGTTAGTCTTGCTTTCATAAGTCAACAAACTATTAGACAGATGGAGGTATATTTAAGGATGAAGTATGACTTCAGAAGTCATGACGTCCCCACGCTTCCATCCTACGCGTTGCGTCATGAATCACCTGACATCCTCAGGGGCCAGCGCAGGAGGTTTTCTGTTTCTATTTTTTTGGATCTGCAACTAGCTACAGAATGATTGCTAGAACTTTGAAGTGAACTGCAAACCCGAAGAACCTTCAGAATGTTAGTCTTGCTTTCATAAGTCAACAAACCATTAGACAGATGGAGGATGAAGTATGACTGCAGAGGTTCCTTCATCTCAGCCATGAGATTGGGCTGGATCGTTAGATGGTTCCAGGGCCGTGGCTAAGGGGGTACCACCAGTCCTCCTGTATGGTGCCCAGGCCAGCAGAGGAGCCCAGGAAGCTGGGTGAATCAATGTGGGTAGAGAAGGTGATCAGCACAGCGGGGGGGGGCAATTACTGGAACTGATCCCCTGTATGGCTCTCTCTGAAGCAGCTGAAAGCTGGCTTCTTTCCCTCCGCTTCCCGCTCGCTTTTTGCTGCTGCAGAGAGATCCATACAGGGGATCGGTTCCAATAACTGCCCCTCCCCTGAGCACCATACATGTCCCCCTGCTGCCCAGGCCCCATGTGTGCCCCCACCCCCCCCAGTGCTTTCCCATCTCTCCTTCCCACCGGCAGCTGCAAGCACACAATAGGATCCTTCAGGATGGAGAGTTGGGGGGAAGGGTCCAATAAATGTCACATTTACCAGCCCCTTCTTTTCCTGAAGGAACACTACGAGTGATCGCTACTGATCACTCGATGTGTTCATTCATAACTGAAGCATAGTAAACTGTGTTTTTTTTTTTTTTTTTGATGGAGCCCTGTCAGGTTGGCTGTATGGGGCCCCAGTGGTTTCTAACAGCAGCCCGGGGTGGTTCTTTGCAGACAGAATGTTGTCAGTAGAGGTAGGAGGATCAGGAGCAGGATCGTTTTAAATAGTCAGATACTATGTAGCAACCAGCAACTGTTGCGACAACCGATACATTGGTCAGAAGTTGTCACGGTCAGTGCAGAAAGTGCTGAGCTCTGGAATATGTCACAATGCTGAGGTCAGGAGTATGTAACACGCACAGCTCAGAAGTATGTACAGTGCCGTGTATCTTACATACCCCTGACTACCACAATCTGCATGCTGTGCTTACCGTGTGTGCTCTTAACTGCTATACCTTCAGTTTATTGGGGTGCCCCTTAAAACAGAGCCTGTTGGCTATGAATGGCCTGGTTATCACAAACGGCACCCCCAATTTGGGAATCACCTGCAACATTTGGGTTGTTTCTGATATCCTACAGCAGGGTGTCAAACTGGCGGCCCTCCAGCTGTTGCGAAACTACAAGTCCTATCATGCCTCTGCCTTTGGGAGTTGTGCTTGTAACTGTCAAACTTGCAATGCCTCATGGGAATTGTAGTTTGGCAACAGCTGGATGGGCTGCCAGTTTGACACCCGTGCCCTACAGGATCTTTGTTTGAAGAGCTGACCTCATCCTCCTGCACCTCGACATAACCTGCTAGATCAGCAGAAACAATCTTGGAAATAGATTTAAGGTTCTCCATTAACTGAGGACATGCCTTCCCGTAGGTGGGGCCATCATTCTTCTAGAGTCTGGAGATGACCTTTGTTTTTGTCCCCTGCTTCAGTGAGTTGTTAAAGAGATCCATTAGATCACATAGGCCAACCACAAGGTCCGTGGGTCAAATCTGACCCACTGGGCTATTTCACGTGTCTCTCGCACCTCCCCTGCCGATGCAGCACCCCTCTCGTCTCCGCCCTCAGCAGTTGGCAGCAGAAAGTAGGACACAACTTACCTGCCAGATCCTGCGGCAGAAAGGCTCATCTCTGCCCCATCCCGTCTCAGCAGTCAGCAACAGAGAGGAGGACAGATCTCTTCCTACAGGTCCTGTGCCCCTTTGTGTAGCCCCAGCACTCCTCATCTCTGCCTCCCCTGGTCTCAGCATTCAGCAGATTCCGGAAGTTGACTCCAGCCCTCCTCTGGTCCTCCTGCAGACCCTGAACTTTCTTCTTCACAGCTCTACTCCCAGCTTCTTCCTGGCAGAAGCACAAGGGGGGTAGGGGACTCTTGACTTCTGATGGTGGGGGGGGCTGATGTAAGAGGGGGGAGGTGTTGTTGCTCTGGACATCTAGTCTTAGAGATACAATTGGCCCTTTGACGGCAACCATAATGCAGATGTGGCCCAAGTGTGACACCCCTGCATTAGATGCAGAAAAATGATTTACTTCTTCACCATTATTTAAACAATGTACATTTATAAAGGAGAGTAAGATCGCTTCTACCAATGAGGAGACACCATGAACAAGCTGGTAACCCACATGCATTTGTATTCGACAGATGTATCTGAAGGGTCTGAGACACTACAGACACGCCGCACTCTAAAGGAGAAATTGCACTTCGAAGAAGATGGAGATTGTTGGTCCTGTAGAACTCAAAGCGCATCACCAATTAACGAGGATTCTCCTAACAGTGTCTATGTCCCCATTACTGAGCGACGCATTTTGCCTTCTATGGAAAAGGAGATGGACAAAAGCAATCCGGAGGCCGACTGCACGTCCTTCTCCAAAGAGACGTCATTTTCAGATGATGAAGGAAACTCTTTGGAACAAAATATACAGCTGGACTCTTCCTCTTTTCAGGACGGAGACGGAAGAGAAACCGGAAGGCAATGGAAACTCTACGTCAAGTGAGAAAATTACTGAGCCAGCCTGTCCTTCGAAACCATGGACCAAGAGGGTAAAAGACAAAGAGCCTAGGAGACAGAAGACCAAGACCCACAGTGATGAGTGCAAAAGCACCTTGACCAGCGGCTCTAACGTCCATCAACACCAGCCAGTCCATACAATTAACGAGGATTCTCCTAACAGTCTTGATGTCCCCGTTACTGAGCGACGCATTTCGCCTTCTATGAAAAAGGAGATGGACAGAAGCAATCCGGAGGCCGACGGCACATCCTTCTCCAAAGAGACATCATTTTCAGATGATGAAGGAAACTCTTTGGAACAAAATATACAGCCGAGGAGACAGAAGACCAAGACCCAAAGCGATGGGTGCAAAAGCACCTTGACCAGCGGCTCTAACATCCCTCAACACCAGCCAGTCCATACAAGTCCAAAACTGTACTCTTGCCCCGAGTGTGAGAAGACTTTCCTAGTAAGGTCCAAGCTCAAAAACCATCAGAAGGTTCACACTGGAGAAAAGCCGTTTTCGTGCAAAGAGTGCGGGAAGTGTTTTGCAGAGAGGGGGAACCTTAAAAGCCACTTGCGAACCCATTCTGGGGAGAGGCCGTTTTCTTGCAAGGAGTGCGGGAAGTGTTACACTGCGAGTTCGACGCTCAAGATACACATGCGGTGTCACTCCAAGGAGAGGCCATACCCTTGTCCTACTTGCGGCAAGAATCTCATCAGCAGAAGAAGTCTCATTGTACACCTCCGGTGGCACACGGGGGAAAAGCCCTATGTGTGCTCGGAATGCGGGAAGGACTTCAACTGGAAGTCTGACCTGAAAAGACATCTAACGACTCACCTGGGAGAGAAAACCGTTTTCCTGCGAGGAGTGTGGGAAACGATTTTCGAAGAAGCAGTCGTTGGTCCTACACAAACAGATCCACACCGCGGAGAAGCCCTACGTGTGCGCCGTGTGCGGAATGCGTTTTTTCCCGTAATACGCTTCTTCTTGTTCACAAGACGACTCATTCTCTTGAGAAATCTCATACCTGCCCTGAGTGCGGGAAATGTTTCTCCACTAATATGAGTCTTCAAACTCACAAGAGGGTTCATTTTGCTGTCAAGTCCTATTCATGTTCAGAATGCAGCAAAGCCTTCATCCAGAAATCAATGCTGATCAAGCACCAGGTGACTCATACCGGGGAACGGCCTTTTTTATGCCCTGATTGCGGGAAGTGTTTTCCCCGGAAGGATGCACTGACTGTTCACCAGAGGAGGCACCAGTTAGAGAAGCCGTATTCGTGTTCCTGGTGCGGGAAATCCTTTCACATGAACTCGACACTGGTGGTCCACCAACGAATCCACACGGGGGAACGGCCTTTTACTTGCTCTGAGTGCGGGAAGTGTTTTGCTCAAACTTCAGGACTGACTGCTCACCAGAGGAGACATACTGGAGAGAAACCGTTTACATGTTCGGAGTGCGGGAAATCCTTCACTCAGAAGGTGGGACTGAACACCCATAAGCGAACCCATGCTGACAAACGACCTTATGCTTGTTCAGCTTGTGGGAAGTAATTTAGGTGTTGTTCCTACCTCACGCAGCATCAGAAGATCCACTCATCACGGAGTTCACCTCCCAGTTAATAGATGTGCTGTTTGACAACATTTTTAGCAGCATGCAGTATTATATATTTTCCATTTGAAACTTTTTATTGTGTTTTATGACATCTGACCCGCGTCCACTCAACTCTCAGACATATGACATGAATCGCTCAGAAACCCTACTAAAGCAAAGAGCTAAAAGGAAACCTGTCAGGACCGGGAACTGAACCTACAACCTCTGCTGCGTCCAGCACTGACTCTTCTTTCTAAGCCACCCGAGATATTGGACAGCTCCCTGTCTGTTCCTTCTGGACTTTCCTGCCTTGTCTCTTCTTTCTGGGGAACCTTGATCTCTGCACCTCCCATGAACTTCTTGTTTGAAGCCATGTCTCTGCACTCCCTGTGTGCCAGATTATTGTGCTCTCCCACATGGAAGAAAAATATAGTTGAAATATATTTTTAAAATATTCTTCCCAAATATATTGCCATATATATGAAATGCTACAATTTTGGCCATATTCAATATATTTCGAAATATATAATATATATATATATATATATAAAAATGTGTGTGTGTGTATATGTGTATGTTTGTTTGTATTTTCAAAAAATGTTTTTCATATATTTTGTAATAAAAATGCATTTCAACATTCAGTAGTATATATATATATTATATATATATATTTTTTTTTTTTCTTACCAAATATATTGCCATATATTTGCAATGCTACAATTTTGGCAATATTCAATATATTTGCATAAATATATATATACATATACTGCATGTTGAAATGCATTTTTATTACAAAATATCGTTAAAAAAGTATTAAAAATACATACATACACATATGTGTGTGTATATGTGTGTGTGTGTGTGTGTGTGTATGTATGTATTTTAAAAAATATTTTTCAGATACTTTGTAATAACGCATTTCAACATGCAGTGTGTGTGTGTATATATATATATATATATATATATATATATATTGAATATTGCCAAAATTGTAGCATTTCAAATAAATGGCAATATATTTGGGAAGAATATATATATGCATGTATGTATTACTGCATGTCGAAATGCGTTTTTATTACAATATATATGAAAAATATTTTTAAAAATACATTTCAAATATACTGTATGTCTTTAAAAATACAAATCAGCATTTTTGGAATTCATTTACAAATATATGTAAAAATATATGTTAAAATGACTTTTTTATATGTTAAAAAAAATCTGAAGATGGTATTTAAAAAAAACATATTATTTTTTTAAAATATATTCTTCAGATTTATTTTAACATATAAAAAAAGTAATTTTAACATATATTTTTATATGTATTTGTAAATGCATTCCAAAAATGTAGGATTTGTATCTTTGAAGACGTGTGTGTGTGTGTGTGTGTACATACAGGTGAAACTCGAAAAATTAGAATATCGTGCAAAAGTTCATTTATTTCAGTAATGCAACTTAAAAGGTGAAACTAATATATGAGATAGACTCATTACATGCAAAGCAAGATAGTTGAAGCCGTGATTTGTCATAATTGTGATGATTATGGCTTACAGCTCATGAAAACCCCAAATCCACAATCTCAGAAAATGAGAATATTACATGCAATCAATAAAACAAGGATTGTACATAGAACAATATCGGACCTCTGAAAAGTATAAGCATGCATATGTACTCAGTACTTGGTTTGGGCCCCTTTTGCAGCAATTACTGCCTCAATGCGGTGTGGCATGGAAGCTATCAGCCTGTGGCACTGCTGAGGTGTTATGGAAGACCAGGATGCTTCAATAGCGGCCTTCAGCTCTTCTGCATTGTTTGGTCTCATGTCTCTCTTTCTCTTGGCAATGCCCCATAGATTGTCTATGGGGTTCAGGTCAGGCGAGTTTGCTGGCCAATCAAGCACAGTAATCCCACGGTCATTGAACCAGGTTTTAGTGCTTTTGGCAGTGTGGGCAGGTGCCAAGTCCTGCTGGAAAATGAAGTCAGCATCCCCATAAAGCTCGTCTGTGGAAGGAAGCATGAAGTTCTCCAAAATCTCCTGCTAGACGGCTGCGTTGACCCTGGACTTTAATGAAGTACAGTGGACCAACACCAGAAGATGACATGGCTCCCCAAATCAACACAGACTGTGGAAACTTCACACTGGACTTCAAGCATCTTGCAGTGTGTGCCTCTCCAGTCTTCCTCCATACTCTGGGTCCTTGGTTTCCAAATGAGATGCAAAAATTGCTGTCATCAGAAAAGAGGTGTCAGGGATCCAGGTATGACCAGAGATGTGTGGACTGACACAGGGAAATAGCAGGCTTCAGAAATGATGAATAATAAAATTTATTAAGAGCTGCACAAAATATACAAACGCAGTGCAAACAAACCAAACCTTAAACTAATATTACTATGTATAAGTGTAGTCAGGGCTGGAGAGGTGGAGTGGTCAGGCAGGCCAGGTCAGGAAACAATCGGGCAGATAACGTACAACAGGAGCAGGCATGAGAATGGTCAGAAATAGCCGGGGTCAGTGCACGTGGAGTTCTAGCAGAGTCAGAGTCAAGCAGGAGGGTCAAGCAGGCAGAAGACAAGATACAGGAAACAGGATCCAGACAACAGGGCACATGGGAAAACACCATGGCACTGATTGCAGGCCTGGTGCTGCTTAAATATACCTCCTGCAATCAGCTTCAGGTGATGGCTTGATTGCAGGAGTGAGATCCTGGCTGCTCAAAGCACCCGCTGGCAAGCACCGGTACTGCAGTCCACACGGCAGGTGAGCCCATTCCTGACACACCCGCTGGCAAGCACCGGTACTGCAGCCCACACGGCAGGTGAGCCCATTCCTGACAAGAGGACTTTGGACCACAGAGCAACAGGCCAGGTCTGTTTTTTCTTTAGCCCATGTTTCTGACATTGTTGTTCAGGAGCGGCTTGACAAGAGGAATACAACATTTGAAGCCCATGTCCAGAATCCATCTGTGTGGTGACTCCAGCCTCAGTCCACTCCTTGTGAAAGTCCCCAACACTTTTGAATGGCCTTTTCCTGACAATCCTCTCCAGGCTGCGGTCATCCCTGCTGCTTGTGCATCTTTTTCTTCCACACTTTTCCCTTCCACATAACTTTCTATTAATGTGCTTTGATACAGCACTTTGGGAACATCCACCTTCTTTTGCAATTACCTTTTGAGGCTTTCCCTCCTTATGGAGGGTGTCAATGATGGTGTCAGGTCAGCAGTCTTTCCCATGATTGTGATTCCTACTGAACCAGACTGAGAGACCATTTAATGGCTCAGGACCCCTTTGCAGGTGTTATGGCTTAATTTAGCTGATTAGAGTGGGACACTTTGAGCCGAGAATATTGCACCTTTTCACAATATTCTCATTTTCTGAGATTGTGGATTTGGGGTTTTCATGAGCTGTAAGCCAAAATCATCACAATTATGACAAATCACGGCTTGAACTATCTTGCTTTGCATGTAATGAGTCTATCTCATATATTAGTTTCACCTTTTAAGTTGCATTACTGAAATAAATGAACTTTTGCATGATGTTCTAATTTTTCGAGTTTCACGTGTGTGTGTGTGTATGTGTGTGTGTGTGTGTACATATATACATACACACATTTATTTATTGAAATATAATGAATATGGCCAAAATTGTAGCATTTCAAATATATTTTTCTTCCATATTGGCTCTCCAGCCGATATCTTGCTTCTTAGAGTACATGAAGCTGTCCTTATCTCCACTACCGCTCATTACTGACCTGTGGCTTGTTCCTCGAATACACTACTGCTTGATCCCTACCTGCTGTATCTGCTACTGGACCCTGGCTTGCTCACCTCCTTGTGGGGCAATCTTGAGGACTGCTACCTGCTACTAACCCATCTCCTCCATCAGGAGCTCTGGTGAACACCAGTGAGTGCTTAGACCCCGCACCTTGGGTGAGCCAACATCATCCACAAGGGTGACCTGCTTGTTTACCCATCCTGCTGGTCGGTGGGAGCTTCTCTACTGCTACTGTTCTCTAAGCCTGACCCCCGATCGTGAAAAAAAAAAAACATAAAAGGAAACATCAGTTCTTACATAAACTGCAACAACCAGTTTCCTGATAACAGAACAAATAGAAGGGACTGCTTGGTCTAATGACTTTGTTCAAGCCAGCAGCATACTTTGGCGAAACACTTTGGAGGGGTGGTCCTAGGGTGGGAACTGGTATTGCCATAATTGTGGATACAAAAGCTCAGCTGTGAACTGGTAAAAGCGGCTTCAGCCCCGCTCCATCCAGGCCATGTTTCCGACGCATTTCGCTCTGCCCACAGAGCTTAGCCAAGACTAAGCCCTGTGGGCAGGATGAAACACATTGGGGGACGTTTTAGTTCCAGGTAGAAGGGAAAGCTTGATCTGATGACTTTGTTCAAGCCTATAGTATACTTGAGTGAAATGCGTTGGAAAGGGTCATGTGGCAGGAATTGTTATTGCCATGCTTGTGAAAGAGTTATACAATAAATTAGGACATTTGTGATATGCCCGGGGAGCAGCAGATTTTCTCTTTAAACAAGGAAGAAGTCCAAATGCCGCACGCTAAACAAAAGCCTAGATGTAGACAAGTAAAAGTTGCTTCAGCCCAGCTCCATCTAGGCCATGCCTCCAATGCATTTCACTCTGCCCACAGAGCCTAGTCATGAATAAGCCATGTGGGCAGGATGAAATGCATTGGGGGACGTTTTAGTTTCCAGCTAGAAGGGACAGCTTGATCTGATGACTTTGTACAAGCCTATAGTGTACTTGAGTGAAACGCGATGGAGGGGGGGGGGGTCATACGGCAGGAACTGTTAGATATAGTGTGTGTATATATATATGTATTTTAGCAAAGACAATCATTGCAGTTTTTTATGTCACACCGTTTTTGCCTGTTCTAGGGCGATGATGGTCACTTTTTTTCACTGTATCTATGGAGGAGCAGAATTCACCTTACTTGTCTCAATCCAGAGCACTAAGTGTCATTTCTGTCTACTGCTTCATTCCTCTGCTATCAGCATAAATCACTTCTGCCAAGTTTTCCTGACACCAAGAGAAAAAGGGTGACGGGGAGGGGCCTCCAGCAGATGGGTGAATCCCTTTGGAGGGGTGGTCCTAGGGTGGGAATTGTTATTGCCATAATTGTGGAAACAAAAGCCCAGCTGTAGACAGGTAAATGCGGCTTCAGCCCAGTTCCATCCAGGCCATGAGATCCATTAGATCCCCCCCAAAAAAAGGAAATAGAGTCCGTTCTACCACTGGAAAAGACAAAAATCCCCTGCGCTCAAGATGGTGTACTTGTGATGGATGGATCTCAGGTCCTTAACAATTTGCTGCCCTCTAAGGGTCAGGGGAAAACCCAGAAGAAATTGTAAAAGAAGGAAGAGAGGGCGCACCAGCCTAGTGCATTACCTGGGTGGTAGCTTTATTGATTAAATAAAATGGATGCTTACTCACAACCAGCTTTATTAACAAAAGCATATCAAAGTCCAAAACGACCTGCTCCCAAATGCGAGAGGACCCTCCAAATTCCTGATGCTTTTCGAGGGACGATTACCCTCTTTCTCAGAGCCCTCAGGGCTCTGAGGAAGAGGAGATCGCCCCTTGAAACGAGTCATCCCTTGGGTCTCTGGGGAAGAGGGAATTGCCCCTCGAAACACGTCCACCCTCAGGAGAGGGGATCACCCCTCAAAACGTGTCATCCCTCAGGGCTCTGAGGAAGAGGGGATCGCCACTTGAAATGTGTCAGACCTCAGGTCTCTGAGGAAAAGGGGATTGCCCCTTGAAATGTGTCAGCCCTCAGGTCTCTGAGGAAGAGGGGATCGCCCCTCAAAACACATCAGCCCTCAGGGCTCTGGGGAAGAGGGAATCGCCCCTCGAAATGTGTAAGGTCTCTGAGGAAGAGGGGATCGCCCCTCAAAACACATCAGGGCTCTGGGGAAGAGGGAATCGCCACTTGAAATGTGTCACACCTCAGGTCTCTGAGGAAAAGGGGATTGCCCCTTGAAATGTGTTAGCCCTCAGGTCTCTGAGGAAGAGGGGATCGCCCCTCAAAACACATCAGCCCTCAGGGCTCTGGGGAAGAGGGAATCGCCCCTCGAAATGTGTAAGGGCTCTGAGGAAGAGGGGATCACCCCTCAAAATATGTCCACCCTCAGGAGAGGGGATCACCCCCGAAACGTGTCAGCCCTCAGGGCTCTGAGGAAGAGGGGATCACCCCTCGAAATGTGTCAGACCTCAAGTCTAAGAGGAAGAGGGGATTGCCCCTTGAAACGTGTCAGCCCTCAGTGCTCTGAGGAAGAAGGGATCACCTCTTAAAACACGCCAGCATTCGGGGCTCTGAGGAAAAGGGGATCGCCCCTCAAAACACGTCAGCCCTCTGGGTTCTGAGGAAGAGGAGATCACCCCTCAAAACACACCAGCCTTCAGAGCTCTGAGGAAGAGGGGATCGCCCCTCAAAATACAGCGCTCCCAGGCTCTGAGGAAGAGGGGATAGCCCTTCGAAATGTGTCAGACCTCAGGTCTCTGAGGAAGAGGGGATCGCCCCTCGAAACACGTCAGCCCTTGGGACTCTGGGGAAGAGGGGATCGCCTCTCGAAATGTCAGACCTCAGGAGAGGGGATCACCACTCGAAACGTGTCAACCCTTGGGGCTCTAGGGAAGAGGGGATCGCTCCTCGAAATATGTCAGCCCTCAGGTCTCTGAGCAAGAGGGGATTGCCCCTCGAAACATGTCAGCCCTCAGGGCTCTGAGGAAGAGGGGATCACCCCTCGAAACACGTCAGCCCTTGGGACTCTGGGGAAGAGGGGATCGCCTCTCGAAATGTCAGACCTCAGGAGAGGGGATCACCACTCGAAACGTGTCAACCCTTGGGGCTCTAGGGAAGAGGGGATCGCTCCTCGAAATATGTCAGCCCTCAGGTCTCTGAGGAAGAGGGGATTGCCCCTCGAAACATGTCAGCCCTCAGGGCTTTGAGGAAGAGGGGATCACCCCTCGAAACGTGTCAGCCCTCAGGGCTCTAAGAAGGAGGAGATCGCCCCTTGAAACACGTCAGCCTTCAGGGCTCTGAGGAAGAGGGGATCACCCTTTGAAACGTGTCAGCCCTCAAGGCTCTGAGAAGGAGGGGATTGCCCCTTGAAACAGAAGTTTAGAGGGTCCTCTCACATTTGGGAACTATCTCGGTGACCAGGTCGCTTCGGACTTTGATATGCCTTTGTTATTAAAGCTGTTTGTGAGTATACATCCATTTTATTTAATCATAAAGCTACCACCCAGTCACCTTTACCATTGATTGAGTCTACGTCACCATTAGCATATATATATTAAACAATGTGCCTACCTCTCTAAATGAGGAGATACCATGAACAAACTGGTAACCCACATGCATTTATATTCAACAGATTTGTCCGAAGGGTCTGAGACCCTACGGCCACACCATGCTATAAAGGAGAAATTGAATTCCAAGGAAGATGGAGATTGCTGGCCATGTAGAACTCAAAACCCATCACCAATGAATGAGGATCCATCTTCTCAGGATGGAGACAGGGGAGTAACAGAAGCAAACAAAACCTCTGATTCAAGTGAAATATTTGCTGATCCGGCCTGTTCGTCGAAACCACCATCAGAGAGGGCAGAGACAAAGACCCTGACCAATGATGTTCTCCAACACCAGCCCATACACAAAGGGCCCCCTTGTTTGGACAAAGCAGAGAAGCTGGAGAAACGTCAGAGTGCCAAACTGTACCCGTGCCCTGAGTGCGGGAAGAATTTTCGGGTAAGGTCACAACTTAAAAGGCACCTTAAGGTCCATACCGGGGAAAAGCCGTTTTCATGCAAGGACTGCGGCAAGTGTTTTGCAGAGAGAACGACGCTTAGGATACACTCGCGGACTCATTCAGGGGAGAGGCCATTTCCATGTAAGGAGTGCGGGAAGCGTTTTAAAGAGAAGTCGCTGCTTAAGTTGCACTCACGATGTCACTCCGGAGAGAAACCGTATTCTTGTCCTACGTGCGGGAAGAGCTTCATCAGCAGGCGTCGTCTTGTTTTACACCTCCGGAATCACACTGGGGAAAAGCCTTACCCGTGCTCAGAATGTGGGAGAGGCTTCAATTGGGAGTATGACCTAAAAAGACATCGGATGACTCACACAGGAGAGAAACCATTTTCCTGCGAGGAGTGCGGCAAAGGCTTTTCCCAGAAGCGGTCGCTGGTCCTACACAAGAAGATTCACACCGGAGAGAAGCCCTACGTGTGCGCCGTGTGCGGAATGAGCTTTGCCGGTCGATTGCTCCTCGTCGTTCACAAGACTGTTCATTCCGGCGAGAAACCTTATAAGTGCTCCGAGTGCGGGAGTTGTTTTTCCCGGAAGTCGCACCTCGTCAGTCATCAAAAACTCCATTCTGGAGAGAAGCCCTTTGCCTGCTCCGAGTGCGGGAAGAGCTTCTCCACTAACATGCGTCTTCAAACCCACAAGGGGATTCATTCCTCTGACCATTCCTATTCGTGTTCAGAATGCGGCAAATGCTTTCTCCACAAATCGGTGCTGATCAAGCACCAGGTGACTCATACCGGGGAACGGCCATTTTCATGCTCCGATTGCGGGAAGTGTTTTCCCCGTAAGGGGGATCTGACCGTTCATCAGAGAAGGCATCTGGTACTAAAGCCATATTCGTGTTCCTGGTGTGAAAAATCCTTCCACTTGCATAACGCACTGGTCAACCACCAACGAATCCACACGGGGGAGCGGCCTTATACTTGCCCCGAGTGTGGGAAGTGTTTTACTCAACGTGGAGCACTGACTGCCCACCAGAGGACACACACTGGAGAAAAGCCATATACGTGTCCGGAGTGCAGGAAATCCTTTACCACAAAGTCAGGATTGAACAACCACAAGCGAACCCACACTGGCGAAAGACCTTATGCTTGTTCGGATTGTGGGAAGTCCTTTACGTGCCGTTCCTACCTCACTCAACACCAGAAGGCCCACTCGTCCGAGAGTTCACTTCCCAACTAGCATACTTGCTACTTGGCAGTATTATTGCAGCATAATATTTTTTTTTTCATTTGAACCCCTCAAACATATAAAATAAATCACTCATAAACCTTACTGAAGCAAAGAGCTAAACCTCTAGGTTGGGGTTTCTCAACCAAGGTTCCATGGAAACCTAGGGTTCTGTGACAGTACGAGGCCCTGCCACTGTACAAAAAAATGATACAGGATTCACATTAAGGGTTAAAACACAGTTCTAGACTATTGTTTCTGAGCAGAGAAAGCTCTGTTTTTGGTTTGCTCTGGATCCTGTAGTCTCGGACCGGGGCCTGGAGCTTGAAGGTTCCAAAGTGTACTGGGTGGGATGGAACCTTATAACCTGTGTCTGGATTTTACCAGGTGCCTAAGCCTGTCTGAGTACAAAGGTGGGCAGGGTTGTTATCTACCTAAGTCTGAGGATAGCTCAGGGCTCCCAGTTTGGAGACACTTTCCATATTGGAGACAGAAGGTCTCAACCAGGGGTTAGAAGAGCCCCAGCCAGGAGTTGGGGGACAGAAGGTGTCAAGCAGTGGTCAGAGGAGCCACAACTAAGAGTTGGGGGACAGAAGGTTTCAACCAAGGGTCAGAGGAGCCACAACCAGGTTCTGGGGGACAGAAGGTCTTAACCAAGGGTCAGAGGAGCCACAACCAGGAGTTGGGGGACAAAAGGTCTCAACCAGGGGTCAGAGGAGCCTCAGCCAGGAGTTGGGGGTCATAAGGTCTCAATCAGGGGTCAGAGGAGTCTCAGCCAGGAGTTGGGGGTCATAAGGTCTCAATCAGGAGTCAGAGGTGCCACAGCTAGGAGTTGGGGGACAGAAGGTCTCAACCAGGGGTCAGAGGTGCCCCAGCCAGGAGGTGGGGGACAGAAGGTCTTAACCAGGGGTTAGAGGAGCTGCAGCCAGGGGTTGGGGGACAGAAGATCTCAACCAGGGGTCAGAGGAGCTACAACTAGGAGTTGGGGGACAGAAGGTCTCAACCAGGGGTCAGAGGAGCCACAACCAGGAGTTGGGGGGCAGAAGGTCTCAACTAGGGGTCAGAGGTGCCCCAGCCAGGAGGTGGGGGACAGAAGGTCTTAACCAGGGGTTAGAGTAGTCCCAGCCAGGGGTTGGGGGACAGAAGATTTCAACCAGGGGTCAAAGGAGCCCCAGCCAGGAGTTAGGGGACAGAAGGTCTCAACCAGGGGTCCGATGGACCCCAGCAAGGAGACAGGAGGTCTCGTTGCAGGTGGGCTCCTATCGGGGAGGTCAAGAGAACCTCAATTCAGAAGCCAGGATTGGGCTCCACAGTAGCGCTCTGCGACTAAAGGCTAAGAGAGCCAAGTGAACCAGGAAAGCTGGGCAACAAAGTCAGAGGGACTGGTGAGAAGAGCAGAGGTGCCGCTAACAAGTGAGCCAGGTGGCTCAGCATTTTCAGCAGGGCTTTGAGCAGAGGGGATCGCCCCTCGAAACGCGTCAGGGGGGTTCATGTTTGGGAGCTGTCTCAGTGACCAGGCCGCTTTGGACTTTGATATGCCTTTGTTATTAAAGCTGTTTGTGAAAATATATCCATTTTATTAAATAAATAAAGCTACCACCTAATCACCTTTACCACTGATTGAGTCTACTTCACCATAAACATAAATAACCAGGGGTCAGAGGTGCCCCAGCAAAGAGACAGGAGGTCTTGTTCCAGGAGTCAGGTGGGCTCCAATCAGGGCGGTCAAGAGAAGCCCAATTCAGAGGTCAGGATTGGGCTCCGCAGCAGGGCGCTGCGACTAAAAGCTAAGAGAGCCAAGAAAACTAGGAAAACTGGGCAACAAAGTCAGAGGGACTGGTAAGAAGAGCAGAGATGCCGCTGAAAAGGGAGCCAGGTGGTTTCGGCATTCTTAATCGACAGTTGATGGTGAAAACCCCTCCATGGGCAACTGTTGTTTAATTGAACTTTCCCTTTTGTTCATTAAAGGTGGGCTGCTACACCCTAAAATGCCATTTGGAGTGGCGCAACTCATTGGAAAAGCACCTACCACATGAGCATAATCACCACAATACCAGGGGGTTCCTTCAAGAAGGAGCAGTTTCTGCCTCTCAGATAAGTTCCCACTGACACCATTGATTTTTTTAGCTCTCTGTAAGAGGTCTCCTTTGTGTTGAGAAGGTTGCCGAGGTTGTAATTTTTTACATATTCAAAAAATGATAGACGTGGGGACACCAAGTTAGAACAAAGAGCAAACGTGAAATTCTGTGTGAAACTGTGCAAATCTGCCACAGAGACAGTTGACATGATTCGTCGAGGTTATGGTGATGCTGCAATGAGTCGTTTAAGGTGTTTTGAGTGGCACGAACGCTTCAAGGGTCGGAAGGACATCACTGGAAGATGACGAGAGACCAGGAAGACCTTCAACGAGCTCAACCCCCAAAAATGCCATCCTCCCAAAGATGAAGATCCAGCTCAAAGGTCACCATTTTAACAACATTGTGGAGATCCAGCAATTTGCCCGCTTTCACGCAGAATTTCACGCTTGCTCTTGCTGTCCGTGATGAAATAGCAGACATGGTAACGCACGTCAGAATCGCACCAGTTGCACAGCTCCCGATATATCAGGACAATGTCTTTTGGCACACTGACTTATGAAGGTTGGTGCTCCCTGTGACTGTGCGTGCAGCCTTGTGCTGCATTCTGTTGGCGTGTTACAAAACTAGTCTCGAAATTTTGTGATACCACCTCCTATAAATTATGGAAAATTCTCATCCTTATGCTTACCTTGGTTTTCCTTTTCTGGTGCCTTCCTGTGTCATCACTAATAATTGGTCTGGATCCACCAATCCGCACGGCAAAAACAAACCTTCCTCACTCTGTTATGTCTGTGGAGTAAAAAGTTCCAGAAAACTAAAAATGCATGGGCTGGAATGCTCATACTGATATGGTGGGGCACCAGGAAAGGAGAATTGCAGTAAGGTTCCAGCAAAAACCCTTTGTAGATGACCACAGATGTCTTTTGCTGGAACCCAGGTCATGAGTGACCTGGATGCTACCACGCCTCTTGCTGAATGCTTCGAAATATTAGGAGGGGCACATGACCTTTACCTTGCCGTTCGATGGCAAGATGCTCTTTGGTGCCCCTTTAGGGGTGCTCCTAAATGGGCACCAAAGAGCATCTTGCCATCGAATGGCATGGTGCAGAGCCTCTGCTTAGAAGAAATGTCCATCAGCCATGGCCTTAGCTATAATGTTTTTTCTAGCAGTGAAGGCTCCTAATATTTTGATGCATTCAGCAAGAGGTGTGGTAGCATCCAGGTCACCCATGACCTGGGTTCCAGCAAAAGCCCTTTCTAGATGGCCACAGATGACTTTTACTGGAACCCAGGTCACGAGTGACATGGATGCTACCACACCTCTTGCTGAATGCATCGAAATATTAGGAGTGGGCACATGACCTCTATCTTGTAGGACACCCCAACTATGTGGATCATTCAAGAAAACGTCCTAGTAGAGGCAACTTGTCTTTTTCTTGTTCCTGAATGATGTAAGCAGTGACCTGACAGACCAATTCTATCGCTTCATCTAAAGGAGCACCAAAGAGCATCTTGCGATCGACTGGCATGGTGCAGAGCCCCTGCTTAGAAGAAGTGTCCATCAGCCATGGCCTTAGCCATAATGTTTTTCTAGCAGTGAAGGCTCCTAATATTTCAATGCATTCAGCAAGAGGTGTGGTAGCATCCAGGTCACCCGTGACCCAGGTTCCAGCAAAAGCCCTTTGTAGATGGCCACAGATGGTTTTTACTGGAACCCAGGTCATGGGTGACCTGGATGCTACCACACCTGTTGCTGAATGCATCAAAATATTAGGAGGGGGCACATGACATTTACCTTGTAGGATACCCCTAAAGGGGCACCAAAGAGCATCTTGCCATCGAACAACGTGGTGCAGAGCCCATGCTTAGAAGAAGTGTCCATCAGCCATGGCCTTTACCTTGCAGGACACCCCTAAAAGGGGCACCAAAGAGCATCTTGCCATCGAATGGCATGGTGCAGAACCCCTGCTTAGAAGAAGTGTCCATCAGCCATGGCCTTAACCTTGCAGGACACCCCTAAAAGGGGCTCCAAAGAGCATCTTGCCATCGAACGGCATGGTGCAGAGCCCCTGCTTAGAAGAAGTGTCCATCAGCCATGACCTTAGCCATAATGTCTCTCTAGCAGTGAAGGCTCCTAATATTTTGATGCATTCAGCAAGAGGTGTGGTAGCATCCAGGTCACTCGTGACCTGGGTTCCAGCAAAAGCCCTTTGTAGATGGCCACAGGTGGCTTTTGCTGGAACACAGATCACGAGTGACCTGGATGCTACCACATCTCTTGCTGAATGCATCGAAATATTAGGAGGGGGCACATGACCTTTACCTTGTAGGACACCCCAACTATGTGGATCATTCAAGAAAACATAGTCCTAGTAGAGGCTGCTTGTCTTTTTCTTGTCCCTGAATGATGTAGGCAGTGATCAGACCAATTCTATCGCTTCATCTAAAGGAGCACCAAAGAGCATCTTGCCATCGACCGGCATGGCGCAGAGCCCCTGCTTAGAAGTGTCCATTACCCATGGCCTTCGCCATAATGTTTTATGACAGCTAGTGACAGCTAGACGCATAATTATAGATGAAATGCTGAAAAAAATCCAAAAGTTTTATTTCCTGTTGAAAAAAAAATAACCTGCGATCTATCTACATCTAAAGTTAAGGCCTCCTCTTTATTGTCTGACCATACCTTCAAAGCCCCAGCAGCTGAGGTCAATGTGATGGAGGGCTTACAAGCTGCTCCGATGACTGATTAGACCTTTTTAAAGCTGAACTTGAACTTTCCTGGGAAGGGTGAACGACTTACTATATTCCTTGCTTCCCCGGCAGTGGGGACTCTTCTCCACTCCCCGATGCTCCCAGAATGTGGATGGGCCCTT